CAAGGCAGGTCACCAACCGCCAGTCCCCAGCTCCAGAGATGTCTTAAAGGGACCTCAACTTACAGCAACACAGTTCACAGGCTAGGCATCCCACAGGTAGTGTAGCCTGTAAATTGAGGCACAGAACAAGCAAGGCAGCCGCACACTGGTCCAATGATCAAAGAGTGAGAGGCAAGAAAGGCGAGGCTCACCGAGCCATTTATCTCTCCACCCTTCAGTTAATCCCACTTGTGTTTATTGGCCAGCTGGCACAATAAACTATCTCGCTGCTTATCCCATGTGTTTTCTAAAGTTAATTAATTTTTAACAGTCTCACCAATATATAATTCACAATATTTCACTAGTTTGATCACATTCGTAAGAATTGTACAACCAAAAAAAAAATTGTGCAACCATCACCACAGTCAATTCCAGGACATGTCCTCTTCCTTGTGCTCGTTATTGTTAGCTCTCCATTTCCAACCCACTTCTCCTGCCCTGTGCCTTGAAACTATGAACCCTGGTGTTGTCTCCGTAGATTTACCTATTCTGACTTTCATGTACAGAAAAACATACAAAATCAAAGCAAATAACAAAGAAATGGCCCAACGATAATGACAAAATGAAACAGAGAAAAACCTCAATTGAAAACAAAGCAAAAAAAAAAAAAAAAAAAAAAAAAAAAAAAAGAAAACAAAGCAGAAGGAGAGGAAGAGAGAGCTGAGCACATCCTGGCCCACCACTCCCTGAGGACGATATTCCCACTCAGAGCAGCCAAAGCACAGAGAGGACCATGGGCCGGCCCCACTACGACACACTATGTCCCTCACTGACCCATAGCCCTACAGGGGGCAACACTGGAGACACAGTGGGGATTTCACCTGGTCTGACCCCACCACACTGAGGTGAAACAGTAAGGGTGTGCAACAGAGCAGCAAGGGGAACAGAGCAACAAAGTCCCCAGGGAATACCAAAATTAGACTTTGGGGCCAGGGCCATCAGACTCAACTGGAAAACACTCCTAAAGTCAACAAAGACACCTTGAACTATTTACAGGCTTTTCTTTTTGTTGTTGTTTAGTTCTCTTATTGCTTTGTTTTGTTCTGTTTTGTTTTTTTCTGTATAGTATTATCTTTGCAGGTCTATCTAAATAAGATAGCTGTGATAAACAATCTGGAGGAGAAAACAACGGGACTGAAGGTTCAATGGGGATATGGGAGAAGGGGAGGTGGGGGAAATGAAGTGGGTGTTAACAACCCTAGGGACAAGGGAACAACAAGTGATCCAAAATTGGTGGCTAGGAGGGTATAGGAGGTCTGGTAGGGCTTGATCAAGGTCAATGTAACTGAGAGCACTTACTGAAACCCAAATGAAGGCTGAACATGCTAGTGGGACAAGAGGAAAGTAAAAGGAAACAGAGGAAAGAACTAGGAGGCAAAGAGCATTTATAGAGGTTTAAATACAGGCATGTACATATGTAAAAATATTTATATATGATGATGGGGAAATAGCTCTATGTGCATATATTTATACGTCGCAGATGGACATTGGACCTCTACTCAAGTACTTTGTCAATGCAAGAACTTTTTTTTTTAACAATCATTTTATTGGGAGCTCTTACAGCTCTTATATAACAACCCATACATCAATTGTATCAAGCATATTTGTACATATGTTGCCATCACTATTTTATAAACATTTAGTTTCTAGTTAAGCCCTTGTTATCAGCTCCTCATTCCCCCCTCCCTCCCGCTCATTTGATTTTTTTTTTATCGTTTTATTAGGGGCTCATACGACTCTCATCACAATCCACACATATATCAATTGTGTAAAGCACATTTGTACATTCATTGCCCTCGTCATTCTCAAAACATTTGCTCTCCACTTAAGCCCCTGGCATCAGGTCCTCATTTTTTCCCTCCTCCCTCCCCGCTCCCCTCTCCCTCATGAGCCCTTGATAATTTAATAATTGTTTATTTTGTCATATCCTGCCCTGTCCAACGTCTCCCTTCATCCACCTCTCTGCTGTCTGTCCCCCAGGGAGGAGGTCACACATAGACCCTTGTAATCGATTCCCTCCCTCCAACCCATTCTCCCTTCACCCTCCCAGTATCGCCACTCACACCACTGGTCCCGAAGGGATCATCCACCTTGAACTCCCTGCGCCTCCATCTCCCATCTGCATTAGTGTACATCCTCTGGTCCAGCCAGACCTGCAAGGTAGAATTCGGATCATGACAAGGGGGGGGGCGGGGGGAGGAAGCATCCAGGAACTAGAGGAAAGTTGTATTTCTCATTGCTGCTACATTGCACCCTGTCTGGCCCATCTCCTCCCCAGACCCTTCGGCAAGGGGATCTCCAGTGGCCTACAAATGGGCTTTGGGTCTCCACT